TCTCTTTACATATCACACACACTATTTACCTTGGTTTTGATGGTTGTCCCGTCAGCAAGATGGAGTATCTTATAGAAGCCAGATTCCTCAATACTAACAACTTTTGAGGAATATCTGATGGTTTCCTTTGGAAGCTCATTCACAAGGACTTCCAACACTTTTGTCCTTTGAACACAACGAATTTCAATACCTCTGCAATATCACAAGAACACCGATCATAGAAAGAATTTGGATCAAATTTAAACATTTAGCCACACTGATTCACATGGTATACATACTCTTGGTTTTCTGTTGGTTTGAAAGGCATGGCCGCTATCTGTTTCCCAGTAACCAATGAAGTGGTGACAATCCTGTAGTCCAATTCTTGCAGTTAGTTTAGAGAAAAATGAATGATACCGAGAGAATAAAGTTTAAAAGATGTTATATATATATATATATTATACCCATTGAGTGGTCGATGGTGGTGGCGAAGTTTGTCTCCAACACCAACGGCATCCAAAGCCTTCCAAGCATTTTGCCATATGGAAAGAGAAAAGCCCGTGACTCTCAAGCTATCCGAAGATTCCAACACCAAACTTCGAATACCCAACCTGTGAGTATAAATGAAGAGTTACTATGCATGAAAACCACTGTGTGTAGGTACACTCTTGGAACACCATTAGGTAGCCACAAAAATAGTATACCGTACAAAGACAAAGTTGTTTAAAAGAAACTTTTGTCAATGTCATTGTTTAAAAAGTATACTGGTCAGAATAATTTTATTTTGATAGGATGTTTTCCGAAGAAGCAAAAAGCAAAGGAAAATATTTTGCTTTTCCTGTGCATTCTTCCATTTTTCAACACTCAGTCAACCTGATAAAAGATAATAATTTTATATTTTTAATTGTCTCTCTTAAATTGGGTTATGATCTTCCAGAAGCAAACATCCTAGGCAACTACCACAGGATTGTGTAGTGCACGCCAAGTGTTGGTGAATGTTAAACACAGCTGTGACGGTTAGAGAAGCGGAAAAAATACCTGTAAAGTCCTAACGATGTTGTGACGCCAGCAATTCCAGCTCCCACAATCACAATATCTTGAACTATTTCTCTTTCCATTGTTATAATATAACTTGACTGGAAAATTTGCGTTCCCTTATATAGACGTATTAGCAATACGAACACTAGTGTATCACTTGAATGTGCAGATGTGTGGTGTAACTAAATCTCCGACATAAACTATAAATGTCCCCATAGGTGGGTGGGTTATTTATTGAAAATGGTGTAGTTTTACAAGATTACCCTTCTGCTTTAAGAGGAAACAGTTACGCATGTTAAAGGTGTGGGTATCTGCGTTTCCCTTGCATAAGAAGCTGGGTAGGGGTGTCGTGTCCCAAAAGGAGCGCCCAGATCATCAGTCATTACTGACCAATTGATTGGTTGGTGAGAACCATTATTGTGCTTTAAAATCCACAACCACCTCGTAACATGCTTTCTCAGCCATATAGGTTCCTTTCATAGGATTTCTTCCTGCACCCCATACCCTTATTCAAAAATTTGCACCACCTCAATGTGGACTTCCATATAAACATTAGGATTCTACCATCAGAAATTAAAATTTGCACTGTGAATTATACAAGAAATTTATTTATATTTTGAATTTCTTTTTAAATTTCTATTATGAATTATATAATCCCAAATATAAATTTACATTATATGTTGTATAATATAAAATATTATTTGTATTATGAATTATCTTAAAATTTACATTTAAGATTTTGTAATTTGGAATTTAAATTTGTATTACGGATTGTATAATTTAAAATATGATTTATATTTTAATTTTTTTTAAATTTGTATTATGAATTATATAATTCAAAATATAAATTTATATTATAAACTGTATAATCTAAAATATATTTTACATCACATTTATTGTTTTATTAATTTCAATAAAGGTTGGGATTTTAAAAAGTACGAGGTTGCGACTTGAAACTTTAAACAGTACGAGATGTTGGAAGAAACATGTGGTGCAGAAAGAAATTTCCGAACAAAAATATTTCAAACAATGAAAGAAAGAAAACAACTCACGGGCCTCGTTTAGGGTCAACCTTAGGCCCCTTTTACCTGTAAATCCAACGTTTCATATGTACTTTTAACTTTGTTTTTTAGAAAATTTCTTTTTTAACTTTAATAAATATTTTTTTAACTTTTTCTCTTTATTTATTAAAGTAATTATGTAACCATTTAACCTGTATTCCTTTAATAAAAATTTGTAAAACTTTGTTTTTTATTTATAATTTAATAATTATTTAATATAATTTAAAATATAATATTATTTAATATTTTTTTATATTTTAATAATGATTAAAATATTATTTGTATTATTATAATAATTATATTAAAAAATCAAAATCAAAATAATTAAAATAAAAAATAAAAACAAAAATAATAATATAAAATCTGATTTAATATATATAAATATATTCAATTATATTAAAATATTAAATTAAATTAAATTATCATTAAATTTTAAATAGAAAATAAAATTTTAAAAAAAAGTCAATCATCGAATATTGATACCTTTAATATGTTATAGGATTTCCACCGAAATGAAAGTTTTTTAAAATTTGTTTTTTATTTATAATTTATTAACTATTTAATTTAATTTAAACATTTAACATTATTTTATATATTTTATATTTAAATAACTATTAAAATATAATTTATATTATCATAATAGAATATTAAAAAAATAAAAATAATAGTAATTAAGAAATCTAAAAATTTGAAAATCCTATTTTATTAATTTAATGTATTTATATATATTAAATCACATTTTATATTATTATTTTTATTGTTTTTGTTTTTTTATTTTATTATTATTACTTTTATATTAATTGTTTTTAATTTTAATCTTATTAATATAATTATTATGATAATATAAATTATATTTTAATAATTATTAAACTATGAAAATATATTAAATAATATTATATTTTTAAATTAAATTAAATAGTTATTAAATTATAAATAAGTAACAAAGTTTTAAAAAATTTTGTTAAAATGATATAGAGTAAAGGAGGCAGAGTTACTTTAATAAGTTAAAAATATATTTATAAGATTAATAAATTTTTTTTTTGAAAAAGTTGAAAGTGTAAGATAAAGTGTTGGAGGTGTAGATGAAACACCCTAACCCTATTCTGTCCAACTTTATTGTGCCTGGGCTGATTGCCATATGAACGACCAAATTGACGAGGAGAAAGAAAAATATTATATTAGAAATATAAAATTCTATTGATAAACAGTAAATAAATAAAAATAAATAATAAATTATAATAGTTGATTTAAAATTGTGTATTATTTATAAATAATTAATACACTCAATAATGTGTTTTAAACTAAAAGTATATTAATTAATACTTTATCAGGCAATTAAAATCAGCTTTGTTAATTTTTTAGTTTAAAAAATTAATATTGTCAAAACAGATACTTTAGCCTGACGCATAGTTGGTTATTTAGTAAGTTAATCTAATCCGGTTTATTTAATAGAGAATCGAAAAAATTTGAAATCAATAAAAAAGTAAAAGATTTTCAACGAAAAGGATATTTATGTGATATACTAATGAACTCAGGATAATTCAACCCAACTCAAAGAATTTGTATTAGTTTTATTTTTTTTAATTTTACATACATTGTTTTCTCAAAATATATACTCGATATAAATATTCGAAATTGTGTTAAAATGCACTTTCAGAATAAAATAATACTTTTAAAAATCATTAAATATTTTTTATTTGTATGTATCCATGAATCCAAATCATTATTAATCAAATTCCGTTGAACCCTAAAACACAACTATACAAGTTATAAGAGTAATTACAAAATGAATGGTCATGTGAATGGCTGTTAACTCAAGGAATTGGTTAATAATTCACGCTTCCTATTTTTTTAATCCACAATAAATCTCCACAAGGTCTCTTATAATTTTTTCATCTTATCGTGATTTCTCGTAATTTAATTTCTTTAAAGCTTAACTATATTTTGTAGGCCTCAAGTAATATCAAACGAATTTATGAATTAAAAATAACATTTCTATATTATAAAAAAACAATACATTTAACTTCTATTTTTCTAAATTTTTTTATCAACAAAATGAATTGCTTTGACAGTGAGCTGAGACATAAAACAACATAGTTATTAAATACATAATACACATTAAGCTCTTTATTTTCCTGCTAATCCTCTAATTTATAGAACAAAGACAAGAAAAAAAAAGTTAGAAAAAGAAAAAGAAATGATAATACAATAGTCATTTAATGATTTGTCACAAGAGTTTAAGATTTGAATTCATATGCATTAAATATTTATTTTCAATAAAAAGCAACGAAAATTCTGTCTAACGATTGAAAAAAAAATTGTTGCTATAACAAGAAAAGTTTCACTGTAACATACAAATCTGAAGTATCCATATCATAAATTTTGGGCAAAGTCATCACAGCTGTGTGAAGGAAATAAAAAACAAATAAGAGGGTATTTTGTTTTGTTATGTTTACTTAGAATTAAAATTTCACTGTAATAATATGCATAATAACATTATGCATTAAAAATCAATGCATTTTAAATATTAGTGAGATGAAACTCAAACTCTAATCAGAAAACAAAGCCCTTAGTACCAAGAACACTTAAAGATATACTCGAGGAGACAAGACCAAAGTAAAGTAATAAATATAACAATATAATATGAAAATTAAAAAAAGACTTTATCAACAAGCGTCTGTAATCCATGCTAAGGTGTTAATAATTTGAACTGGGTAACAGTGCCATCCTCCAAAATAACTGAGAATGTTACATTCCAAGATAAGTAATGCTGCTAAATCATTACTTATTTAACTAATATCCTCTTACAACGAATAATAAACAAATCTATATCAATAACAACATCTTGTTTATCTCCCCTAATTCTAAATAAAAATAAAGCTATTCAGTATCATCAAGATAAGGGCATTGCAAACTTTCAGAATTTTTAAACGCGTGAGTTCATAAGATAGCTCTCTTATGTTGGGGGCAAGGTAGAACTAGGGAACTTTGATAGTGAAAGTATAAACAAGGCAATGATTAGTACTATTGATTTCACCACATCTACTACATGCGTGTGCCTAGACATGCTTCATAGCTACAGACTAAGCTTGGTACATATGAAACTAATCTAACTAAGAAAAACCAAAGCCATTTTCTTTACACATGCTATCCTGCTAAAATATGGTGCCTCCTAGCAGTTAACGCCACGGGTATTCCACACAAAAAGGGGCTTTGAATTACATGAATTTGCTTCTGCTCAACTTGGAATCGATTGCCAACTAGGTGGAAGCCGTTCAGAGGAGGTAGGCACGGCTCTGACGTTAACGTCCAGCGGCAAGAGGCGATAATTAAGGTCGAGTTCCCTGAAAATCTTAATCAACTCTTCAAGCAAAATGGATCTCCTGGTATGCCTTTCTGTCTGATCTTGGAAGTTCATTCTATGACTGGGCCAGATAGCCATTTTCACCATGTGTATGTCTATATGATCCCTGACTACTACAGTAGGTGAAGGATACCAGTGCTCCTTCTTGCTTTCACAGAAACTGCATTGTGACCATCAGTAGTTTCAAGCACTCAGATATCACATTTAGAACAAAAAGAAAACAACAAGACAAAGGAGACAGACATTTTCTCAGCACATACCTGTTTATTCTGTGTTTTATAAGTGAAATCTTTTCAACTGGGGTGCATACATGTATGTAGAATTCGATAATATCTTGCATGTCAGGACTCCGGTAAAAGTTAAATATAGCCTTGGTAGCAAGGACACTGTTAGGGATGATCACCTTATGATTATCGTATTTCAGAAATATAGTTGTCAATATGTTCATTTCTTCTACGATCATCTGAAATTGGTAAGCAAGCATGGGGGAGAAATTAGGACGTGTCTACAGGAGAATAGAATCTGTAAAGTCGTGAACGGATGAACATATTACCTGAATCCCATCGATTTCACATCTATCTCCCACGTCAAATGGGTGCATGACAAATAGGAAAACAATTGCCTCAAATATGGTCTTGCAGGTGTTTCCAAATATAAATGTAACCAAGACAATCTGTGAACTCAAAAAGACAAGAAATTTGGTGGTGGCAAGTTCCAATATCAAGAGCCAAATAATCAGTACAACAATTCCAACTATAAAATTCAGCATTCGATGAAGTTTGTTCACTGCCGTTTTTGTGTCATTTAGTGTCAAAGCGAGCGCTCTCCTTTCCCTGAAGGCATTGACCTGGATAGTTAAATGCAGGATACTGCTGTAAATACTACTATAAAAGCAGGCATAAACAGTTGCATGAAATCAATAATTAAAAGCAGTCTGCAAATGCAAAAAAGCAAGCACAAACTGTTGCATGTAAACATTAATTGAAACCGGTCAAGGATAAATTTATTGACTCTGAACTCTATGCAAATATTATTCATAATAAAACAAAGGATTGAATTAGAAAAATGACATCGGCAAGTTAAATTATATGCTGTCAATCTTGTGTGAACTGTGTGTCATCAGCGCAACTGACAGACAGATTCTAAGAAATGAATTGGATTCTACTACTACCCCTCTTCCAACCGAACTTTGGGGTAAATACACTATTACATACCAAGTTTCGTGACAAATAAATAATTTCATAGAATCATATTGAAAATGTAAGAGAAAACATCAAGTAAAGCAATCGGACAACGAATAGAAAAAGAAGACATAACAGTAACTACATGTTTTTGACGCTACACTGAATATATCTATCCAGTTCTTCTGTTCAAATTAAGCTGCATAATGTTAGCTAATTCTCACCACCCAGTTCTTCAAAGCAGCTTTGCTTATTCTCCCAGAATCAGATGCTCCTTCGAAGAGATTCATGGTTTTTGCAGCTTCGTCTTCTTGCATAAATCGCATCAAGTCATCCGGGTATATATACCTGCAAAACAGAAAGCAATGAGAAAACGGAGAAAAGGATTCTATAAACTAGAAAAAGTTGAAATTATAAAAAGTTGTATGCAGCAAACAACAGATGAAGGTGTAAGTAACCTGCACCCACGCCTAGCAACATTTTGAAATATTTTCTTAGCAGCAGATTTTGCCTCGTTTTCACTTCTGATCTGCGTGGCGTTCTCATCTTCATTGGCGGTATCAAGTATCTGTTCATCCAAGGTGCTAAGAGCCCCATGCCGGACCATGTTCATCAACCTTTTCATATTCCAGGCAGAGATATTGTTGGGGTTGAGTTTGTTGAGGTTATCAATGGTGATGACATTACCATCGTCAGAGCCCTTGGAAAGAGGGCGCGAAAACTTGGCGCTCTTAGCTCTGGGGCTCTTGAGCACTCCACTCCTGGACCTGCCACTCTTGATATCAGAAAAAGCAGTTGCCTTAAGGTCAGGGGGTATGGTAACCCCAGCATTCTGCAGCTGCTGGACCTCATCAGCAAGCTTCTCCTCCTCCTCTTCAGCCTTCTGAATCTCCACCAATGGAGGCCCCGAAAGCGTCTCAATTACATACTGATTAAACAGTGACTCCTGAATCCTATCAAAGTACGTGCTCACATGGAAAGAAGAGGCCAACACCTTAACCATTAGAGTCTTCAGCAACCATACCAAAGTCCCCACAAGGAAACACACCAACACCTTGTTAACATACTCCAAGAAATTACTGTTGGTCTCCCTCTGCACCCTCTGGTCAAACAATAAATGCCATGCAATCAACACGAGCCCCAACCAAACACAATTCTGAACAGCTTTCTTCACACCGTACACAAAATACAACACCCTCTTCCTCAAGAGGAAGTTCCTCTCAATGCAGAATACGGCAATCCTAATAACCCAATCAGACACCAATCTCCCACATATCAAAACCAGAACCATAACCTCCCATTTCCACAATTTAAGATGCCACAAATTCATCTCCCTCAGAAAGGGAATGCATAGGGTGGTTATCAAAAACCCAATGATCAAAATCAAACTCACCCACTCCAGAAGAATCCAGAAGCTGAAATGAGTCTTCTTAAACTCATCAGGAAGATCCTCTTCCAAAAACGGATCGTCCTCCTCCTCATCACCCTTCCTCCCTAAAAACCCAGACTGGAGCTGACCCGATTTCATAACCCGACTCGATTTTCTCTCGGATTCGTCTGGCGGGGCCAGCAACCTGGATCTCGTTTTGGCCTTCAACAACGCAGATTTCCTCTGCATGGAGAGGTTTCTCTCGAAGGAAGCGTTCGAGGTGCACCGAAGTACCTCGCCGTCGTCAATAGGCGACGGCGAAGGCGAGCGACGATGGTCGTACTGCGGCGGGTGCGGAGGGCGTTGGAAGTCCGCGATCGTCGACGATTCCTTGCTGGGCCTTCTTCTGAAGGGGTCGTTCTGCTGTTCGAGGAGATTCGAATCGGAAAGGGGTTCATCGAAGGAGACCTTCAGCTCCCTGGAATTGCGATAGTTCACCGGAGACTCCTCCACCGGCGTCAACCTTCCTTCGCCGGCATCGTCCTGGAGCTCCTCCATTTCCAAATCCATGTCCAGCTGCATCTCGCCGGAGGCCCGCTGCTTGTGGAGGAAACGCCCTATCAGCTGCGACGGCGGGTCCTCCGTCTGCCGGAAATTAAAACTCTGGTCACTGGCGGCGGAGGACGAGCCTTCGCCCCTCCACGAGTCGTAGCTCGACTCGCGCCAAATCTTGTTGGCCTGGGAAGGATTGGCGGCATCGTCGATTTTGACGACGTAGTCGCCGGCTGGCATTGCGCTGTGGCGGTGCGTTTCTTGGTCGAGGAGAATGGGGAGCTGCTCGTGGTCGGAATCGGGGTTTCCGGCGCCGGAAAACCTTTTTGTTTGTTTGAAGGAACCATAAGATTTGAAGGACTTCCTGATAGATTGCATCAGGGTTGCAGGCAGAAATAAATGCTGCACTTTCTATTCAAACATCATAATAAAATTAAATTCATAATAATAAAATAAATTTATTTTAATAAAGTGGAGGCAAGAAAGTGAAAGAAAATGAGACTTCAGGCGATCAAGAAAAACTAAAAAAATAAAAATATGAATGATATTTTGGGCTTTTGAGAATAAGAGAACTACCGATTGAATTTGAAATGGTCTTTTCCCGATAGTGTGTTGACGCGTGTAATGCAGATTCACAACGACGATGTTCTTCAGTCCAGGTGAATAATGTTGTTTTTAAAAGATTTCAGAGTGAGAGCGCCAGCTAGGTGTTATGGTAGGTTGTTGATGTGGGACGGTGAGAATAGAAAACGTTGTTGTTGTTGGTGGTGATGATGTTTCTGGAACATCCGCGTATGTGTTCTTCGGTGTGGGCCCCAACCCATGCTTAGTTGCTGATAGGTCCTTAGGGTGACATTTTTTGTTTTCCTTCATTTTTAAAAACAAACCCTAATGAGAAATTATTTTAAGCTAAAAAAAATTGTAATTTGTGCTGGAATTGTGTTTCAATTTCAAATCAATGTAACTTACTTTTGCATAACTTTTCAAAACCATTTTCTTTCTCTTTATTGACCAAGAAAGGTGCAAGATTTTATATCTTTTTCAACTTTTATATTATAATGTTAAATTGGTTTCAGTGAAATTTGACTCCAAACTACTGTTGCTTTTACACTCTTAAACTAATTAATAATTTGTAAGAATTTAGCCGCAACTGCCTAATTTCCTTTAAATTTATATTTTCTGACATTATTTTAATATTAATCAATCATACTGTTCTTTTTTCTTTTAAGATTTTCACGTTAGTATCATAAATGCAATTATTGTTTTTATTATTTTATTTCTGCTGATCTGTATGCTATTCTTATTTTTAATATTGATCATTTCATTTCATTCTCACCACAAAGTGTAAAATAGTTGCAGAGGTCAAACTAAATTTGACATAAAATAGTCAATTAGTTTGAACTTTGAAAATTATAAATAATTATTAAAAAGTCCAGCTTTCAAAATATCAGTTTTGTTCATGATGCCATTAAAATGTGTAATTGCAAATAATAAATTATAAAATTACATTACCAACCTCAATCTAAACACAGAGTAAAAGATGACTTGAACTACACCTTAATATTATGACAGAATTTTTTTTTCATATACAAAATATCAGTGTTTCTTCCCACACTTCACTTATTTCAACCTACATCTCCTAATTAATAGTTATAATCTTTATTTAATAAAATATAATAAAATGTAATAATGATTTAATAATTTTTCAATCATCTTTATGTACACTGTAACTCTTGCATGTACTCGTCTTATTTCTCCACGGTTAAGCTTGTGTATGTACTCTCAATCTCATTTTCTTTTGTTAATTTTTTGTTATTAAATTATTTTGTTATTTTGTATTTATTGTATATATTTTTTAAGCGTTAATTATTTGAACTTTTAATTTAATTTATAAGATGTTTCTATTTATATAATATGTTATATGTTGTTTTTAAATTTAGTTTTATGTTGTTTTAGTTGTATGCTGTTTTAGTTTTATGCTTTTATTTAGGTGTGTTAGTTTTATGCTGTTTTTTAGTTAATAAACAATACTTAAATAACACCAAATTATAACAATAACATTAAAAATTAAAAAATAATTAAGAAACAAAATAATAAGTCAAAAATTAAAAACTTACGCATAATAAATATTATTTAAATAAATAAATCATTTCAGAAACATTAAAGAGTAACAAACAAATATAAATTTCAAATTAATTACATTATAAATAATATTTAAATAAATATCAAATATAATAAAAAATTTAAAAAAATGTTAACAAATCAATAAAAAAAGTTAAGAAAAAACACAAAAACACAACAATTTAAATTTAAATTAATAAAAGAATGAAAAACTAAAAATATATACAACAAATAATTAAATAATAATTTATATTGAAAAATAAAATATCAGTACAAAATTATAGATTAAAAAATTAATAAAAAATTTAAATTTCAAAATTAAGAAAAATTAATAAAAAAATTTAAATTTCAAAATTAAGAAAAATTAATTACATTAAAAATAAAATTTAAATAAATATCAAATATAAAAAAATATTTATTAACCGCAAAATATTTAATATTTAAATAAACTAATAAAAAAACATAAAAAAAATCAAATTCATAAAATAATTAATATAACAAAGCAAATAAAAATAACAGAAGAAAAAACTTGATTGTAGTTCAAGTTGAGACAAAATGTGAAACCGCATTTCCAAGTGCGGCCGCATTTTCAATTGCGACATGGTATGATCCGTACTTCCTACTGCGGTTAGATCACATTTCAAACAGCGACGAGCTCTCAACCGCACTTCTAAGTGCAAATAACTCTACAACCCCTCTCCACTTTCAAGTGCGAAGAGCTCTGCAACTCTTCTTTGAATACCACTAGCATGTCTCAATTAGTCATCAACCTTCATCACATCCAACTTAAAAATGCATGTACGCAACAACAAGTGAGGGAGGAGGGAAGGATGCGAGGAGCACTGCATGCGAGAAGAAAGAAGAAAGGGATGTATGCGACAGGGAAGTAAGGTTCTGAAAGGAGCATAATTGGAATAATAAAAGAATAAGGAGGTGTAGGATGAGATTGATGAAGTGCAGGAAAAATCACTCACAAAATATTAATGTTTAGGCGATAAAACATGATAGGAAATAAATAGAACATTGCAGATAATAAATGATAAATAATTTAATATCTTTTATAAAAGTTGAACTCGCATGCGTGTACTTATTATATTTAAAGTATCATGGAAAATTAAAACTAAAAATTAATTTACATTTTATTAAGTTAATTTAATTTATATTTAAGTTATATTTTATATTTTTTTAGTTTTATGTTAAAAATTTATAAATGATTTTTTTAAAATATTTGTTGCATTCATATACCTAAATTTTAAGAAAAAATCATAAATAATAATAACAAGATGAATAATAAGTTATAGATTAAATATATTGTAAATCATCACTAATGCTGGAGGTAGATAGTTTGAGAATCTAAGTGTAAGTCAAGTTCCACATTTGATAAAAATGAGAAACTAAAGTATTATATAAAGATGAAATGTCTATTAATCTATTGTCTTAAAGTTTTAGATAAAAAATGATGTAAATTTTTTATATAATTAGATTCAAATTTCATGTATCTTTCTAGTGAATCTCCCAAATCGATAGACTCATTAAATAGTATATAAAATAAATAGTATATAAATTCATGAAAGGACTACCATATAGTTGATGTGAATTTTGTATCTTTTTCTTCACCCACATCACACATGATATTCTTTCTCATGCCACATGTCCAAACAACTCAGTCCAACTCAAATGTAACAAAATGAGTTTGGCTTAGCTTAGGTAGCAAAGCAAAAACAGAATAAAAACAAAAGAAAACAGAGAAAGGATGAAAAGGTGAAAATAAAGACAACTAAATGCCATAAACATAGCTAAAATACGTGTTCCTTTTGGCATGTGATGTCTGCAAATAAGTGTATTATTATTATTATAATAATAATAAGAACGTAATATTTAATTGTTGATGAAAAATACTTATACCTAAAAAACATAGATGCACGCATATTCATGTGACGTGAATGGTACAGAGACCAACACACTCATCACAAACCACCAGGTGTTTAGTGTTCCGCATCTCACGCCTGTCTCTTTTTATTTCTTTTTCCGTCGTTTGCATTTTATAATCGAACAACTCTGTATGTTAATTTTAATATTTTTCATATTCATGGTTTTATTTATGAATTATAATTAGTTTAATCGATAATTATATTTCGTGAAAAATAAATAAATAGTTATTTGAAGTGACATATTTTGTAATTGTTCTTGTAAACTGTATATTTTAAAACTCAATTTACCATTTAGTGATTTTATTATGTCAATGTTTTTAAATTTCATATATCTTACTAATTTTTTGACATGTACAGTTTCAGAAAATTGAAATTTTGGTGATAAAATGCATGAAGAAAAATTGGATGATAGATTAAATTGTGATAGTTGAAGGACATCTGCGATAAAATTTATGTTTTATTCTTCTTTACAGAAAAAATATATTATTTTAATGTAGTATTAATGTATTGAGTTATTAAAAAATGGAATAATTTAAAATTCAAGATAGTATATTTCTTAATTAAATATTTATTAAAGTAAAAGTTTATGATAATAACATATAATAATTAAAGTTAACTTTAAAAAAAAAACATTTTCTCTCGCTTATTAATGAGCTGTACTGTACAACAAATAATGAGCTGTATTATACATTTGAAAAATATGTATAGAGACACAACATAATCATTGTTTTCTTTCAGTCAATAACTAATTTTGACTAATTTTCAACTTTAGTTTTCCCAAATCTACAATTCAATTCTTTAACATATAATTCATTATGATGATAAATAAATATATTTTTTAATGAGTAGTAATACATGAATAATTGGTATTCTTTATTTAATTATTTCATAACCGTTTACTGAATTATCTATTAAAATTGAATTTATTCAAATATTATTATTCAATTATTCATTATCATTTTCTATAGGTTAAATATGTTTTAAGTCCTTAAACTATTGGCCGTTTCTGATTTTCGTCCCTTTTTCAAAATAAAATACAATTTGTTCCTCATTCTTTTCGAAACTTTGGTTTTAGTTCTCGAAAACTAATACCGTTCTGGTAGTTTTCGAGATTAATTTTTTAGGACTAAAACCAAAGTTTCGAAAAAAATGAAGATCAAATTATACTTTATTTTAAAAGAAAGACGAAAATCAGAAACTACCAATAATATAGGGACTAAAAATATATTTAATCATTTTGTATGCATTGGTCTGGATCGACCTATCTTTATGGAAAAGAGAACAAGTCACGTCAACATCAATGCAGTGATCGTAAACAAAAACAAAAGCACAAAATTATAAAAAATTTCAAAAGATTTGTAGTTTCTTCCTGCACCTCTTTAGTTTCTTTCTCCACCTCCAAAATTCCAACTTTCATTACAAACCAACATATTTGAAAAATCGTTAAAAATTTTAAGTCTGGGAACTCTTAATCAGAATTTGATGATTAAGAATTTTACAAAATTTTAAAATAGTTAAAATCTTAATCGATTTTCAGAAACTAGTAAGATTTTATTTTGAAAATCAAGTAAATTTCTTAATTTTTAAATGAGCTTTTAAAAATTGATTAAGTTAATTTTTTAACTAATTTTTAAAAAAGTTGATTAAGAAAACTTTCAAAAACCGATTAAAGTTTATATTTTTGATA